CATTTCACCGACAGGCTGTTTGTTCACACTCCCCCACCAGCTTTCTGTCGCACTTACTACGTCACAGTCAGTAGCGCTCATTGGTCAGAGCGTTGGCCAATAGACAAAGACATGGTTTGAAAAACAACTGGTTGTTCTCATCAACAATCTTCCGATGTCTCATTCATCGGGGCCAGACTAAATTACACATTTAATCTCACATTTAGTCTGGTTTATCAGGCTAGCAACACTTTTCCCAGCAAACCAAGCATATTAATGGGGAAAAGTGGAGAAACAGAAAATTTGATTTATTGATTTTATTGATTAATCGTCCAGACCGTAGCGTAAACATCATGACAATAGCAATAAAAAAAGAGAAAAACATTAGAGAGGCAGTGAGAAAACGCCTCTTCCCTAAACTGAAGAAATATCTGTTACTTAGTCCCTGTTACCTTTCTTATGTAAATATTTATCTTATGTCATTTATTTCAGTTATTTATTAAACATTGATCTGATAGAGATTAGGAATCCTGGAATATAAGTTTGGCCAAATTGAATTATATTAAATGTTGTGATGAAAATACTCATGAAGTCTGGTAAATAGATGGACGCTGATGTATAATCAGCTTAGGCTTATATAGTGGGTTTAATAATCAGTGCTGGGTTTAAAATAAAAAATTCTAATTAACTACAATGTCAAAAATCTCTGGGTAGGTTTGGTTTTGTAATATTAATGAAAATAATTTTATTTCTGATGCGTTGCAGCTTGTGCAGCATCTAGTCTCACTCATTCACACGGCTCTGCTGTTATCCGCAGCTTCACAAAGACTCTGGTAAACATCCGGAACCGGCACAACAACGTGGTGCCCACCATGGCTCAGGGCGTGTTGGAGTTCAAGGAGGCGTTTGGTGTGGACCCTGTCACCAACCAGAACGTCCAATACTTCCTGGACCGCTTCTACATGAGCCGCATCTCCACACGCATGCTCATGAACCAGCACAGTCAGTATAGCACTCTGTAATAACTGTGAGTTAATCAACACAGATCCTAACTCTCAACAACTCATGTGGGTCATGGGTCCAAGTAAAGTCAATTCTATTTCAGGTTGAGGAAAAGCTATTTATTTATTCTATACATTTCTAGGAGTTAATTTCCTGCCTTAAAGTTGAAACTCAGCCTCACTTGATAGATTTCAAACCAAGTTACATTTAATCTGAAAATAAATATGGCTGGAATATGCAAGTGGCTGGAATTTCACCACCTTTTCTACATGCAGTACAGCACCCTGCAAAAGTAGTCATAACCCAGGACCGTTGGCATATTTCCCAACATTACAAATTTTATATGAGAGACTGACAGAAATCGGCGCATGGTTGGAAAATAAACATTTGAATCAGCCCATAAGTCACTACCTTGTAGACTACATTGTTCTCAGCTGGATTTTTTAGGAGTGTAGCTGGGAGACACTTTTTATTGTTTGTTTTGCTTTTTTAAAGCTTGTTCCCTGCTGTCGGGGATGTATCTTGTTATTTCGGGGTGCCCCTTTTTAATTTCTGATACAATATCGATATTGCAGCTTTAAGTAATCACATATGGTTATTACTCAATACGAGAATCATACATACTTTTATTACTTATCTTATAGTGTGAAGTCTTAGAAAAGTCTTAATCAGGGGATTTTTTTTTTTCAAACAGAGAACAATACTAAATGAGATCAGGTTTAAGAACGACTGACCCATTTCTTAATTACCAAAGACTTAGTTCAACTTAAACCAAGAGTGGATAGAAGCAGCATTTTTCTATGAGTTTTCTAATATTGGAGATTTTTGAGGCAGGCTGATTCATTCCAGTAATAATTCCCTAGCTGATATAGGACTGATTTCAGATATCAGTATTGGATCAGGAAATCCCTAGTGTTCACTTGCATTGGTGAGTGGATGACAGTCTTAATGGTGCGGCGTTTGGGTTTTCATTGCGCTTCCCTTATGTTTATTATCAAATAAGGAGATAAATATGTTTAAAACACAGGCCGTTTCTCAATTCCCAAGAACGTAAGTGCGTTTTTGCCAAGTATGTTCTTGACAAGAACAGAGGAAAGTGTGGACTCAGGGAGAACAAGAGCACACAGAATAAATATGGGTCAATTGGAACAGAAGCGTACTCTGACATCACCACATTCAAAGCTAGTCAGGAGCTGCATTTCACCTCCTGTTATTAATAGTCTCTAGTTAATAATAAATATGACTTTTTTCATTTAGTGGGAGAATAGGGATTAACACAATCAGATAAACACAAATCAAATGAACATTTTGCCAGATAAAACAAAAAGAATCGCCATCAGAGCCTGTGGTACTACTTGCAGATGAGCTAACATTAGCCCTGGCTGCGGTTCGCCTCGGAGGTCCGCTCGTTGCAACGGTCCTTTCAACATTTCAACTTTCACAGTTTCATTATGGTCCTTAAAAATCAGTCTATCTGCATTATTCTTTGTAGTTCTAAAAGTTTCTGACTAACAAGTGTCTGTGATGAAATGCGCCAAGGAGGAAGCCCAGATGTCAGTAAAGAGTACCTTACGCACACACAAAATGTGCGTATTGGCATAATTTTCTGCATAATGCTGTATTTTTTATCAGAACATCTAACTATACTGAAATATAAGAACTCTGGACTATTTTAGCTCCAGTGCAGCTGCGGGATTAGATCTGCGCAAATACAGCCACAGCTCCTAGCATTAGGGTTCTTACTTCAGTACTGAGAGCATCTGTGCACCTGGAAGAAACCCACCTTTACTTCACCCCCCCAATCACTGGATTTTGAGGGAGACTCGGAAGAAGCCTTATCAGTTCAAGCCACTTGCTTTAAAACACTAGTCCTTTGACTAGGGATTTTCTTCCAGAGAATTTATTCGCTTTGGATAAAAGCATCTACTATATTCATAAAAATAAACAAATAAACATCTAATTCCAAAAGCTTGTACTGCTGAGGCAGCGCAGTAAGTGAGGCGAACAACTGAATACGTATTTATACCTGAATGCTTAAATGTGTACCGGCACATACCTTTTTAACCAACAGCAAAGCTCTAATACAACCACCATTGATCAATCATTTGTGCAGCATTGAGTTATAATTGAAACTAATATTGCAGAATTATAATAATCTTGCACGGAAATGTAAAAGAAATGCACCTTATAGGGCAAATCTGTACAGTTTAGATGCAAAAATTGGAATTTTTGATGAGTTACTCATTATGTACCATGAAATCAGGCTCCCTAAACCTGTGATATAAAGCTTCAGAAAATAAGGATTTAAAAAAGAAACTTAGTTGTTTGTATGCAGGTGAGCAGATTTTCAATTAAAAATGTTATCACATGTTTTCCTCATGTCAGTAAGCGTTACTCAAAAAGTTGGTGTTATGTCTACATGCTGAATAACATTAAATCCCAATAACTGCTCATCAAACATTTTTGCAAAGTGCTGTACAGTATGTCAGCAGTTTACTTCATTTCCCTGACATGTACCTCAGATAGTTTCGTTTGAATCACACAGTCAGGAGCACGTGCACAGCACAGTTTTCAGTCCTATATCATGTTTGTTTTGTGTTTCCCATAGCATTAATCTTTGATGGCAGCGTAAATCCAGCCCATCCCAAACATATTGGCAGCATTGACCCCAGCTGTGACGTGGTGGAGGTCGTAAAAGGTAATAAGTCATCTTGACCTACTGTCTCTTCACACAGTCTGATATCCAGTTTCCTCTTTTAAACTATTCCTCATTGTTTGACCTCATTACATAAAACTCTGTGAGAGTACTTTAAGGAGGAAGTGTGTTATTCTAATATTTACATGTGCTGGGAACTGCTCGGAGATCTGATCATCAAAAACAAGATCTGATAATCACAAATTAGCCCAAGTTTCATGTTCTTTGTTGTAAAAATTCTGATAAAGAAGTAACAAGCTTTTGTGTTGTGAAACTTTGCAGATGCGTTTGAGACCTCAAAAATGCTGTGTGAGCAGTATTACCTCACCTCTCCTGATATGGAGATCAAGGAAGTCAACTGTAAGTCAAAGGCAACACATATCTTCTGTTTTAAGTTTGTAGCTTAGCTCTAGTCAGATCTCTGCTTCAGATTTCTCTCTCAAGGTGATAGTTTTTCTACTCTTCGTTGATTTTTTCCACCCAGTCCGTCCTCCTCTTTTACAATGGAACTAAGGGTTCAGGATGTCTGTTTCCTGTCTTCTGACTCTGACTAAAAACATCTTGTCAGCATAAAAAATAACTTAGTTTGAGCTGCACAGATTACTCTTGAAGAATTCAGATTTTTTTTGTTATGGTTACATTATAAGACCCTACTACCAAAATAGTCTATTCAAGCATTTTAAATATGTGGCTGCTTTAAACATGTTTTAGGAAGATGTGACAGGGTTGCTTTACATTTTATTCAAGTCAATTTTCACTAAAACTCTTATTTCATTTTAAGAGCATCAAGTCGATCAAGTCTTGTAAGAGAAAACTACACTTCTGAGCTAGCGCTGGTTTTAGGTTTTATTAAGTTAAACCTTTAAGTAATGCATACCTGTATCGCCTTGTGCTGGTATAAATAAAAAATCTCCAATCAAGTAACTTGCATAACATTATAACAGGTCATTTGAATTTCAACTTCTTGTGGTGTGCTGCGTTCACACCAAACACATTTTAAAGGCGTCCAATGTCTCATCTCGTTGAAGTCAGGCGCACGTGGAGAGCATTTTGATACATATTAAGCAAAGTGTCCTGTGATGGGCTGGCGACCTGTCCAGAGTGGACCCCACCTCTCGCCTGTAGACAGCTGGAGATGAGCACCAGCACCCCTCGTGACCCCAGCAGGGATAAAGCGTGACGGAAAATAGACGTATGGATGAGCAAAGTGTGTGCAGACAAATCCGACATGCTTTGCAGGCCTCTTGTGTACAATGGCAGATGCAATGAAGTAATTTTTCTGTGCTAGATTTGCAGTGATGAGTGGGGAAAAAGTCAATTTGATGTTTTTAAGCAAGAAAGTCCATTTCAAAATGTCGCCCATATAGTCAGTTCATCAGAATTATGAACCTAACTATAAATATTCTGTAGCTTTTCCAGGAGGAGAGCTGTCACTAGGAATTAGGGCTGGGAAATGAATTACATTTGCAATATAATCACAACTTAAGAAAACACAATTTTCAAATCGCAGAGCCACTCAGTTTTGGTTACGTTACATTAAATAAGACTAAGACTATTTTTTTCTCACTCCAGACCTTTAGGCAATGGTAATATATTTAAAGTTGGTTTGCTGCCACAAAAAAAAGGAAAGAAACTTCCAGCTAGAACATAGATCAGTGCATGCAAGTAGAAGTAAGCACTTTTCCAAGTAAAGGTTATAATAAAGCCCTGCAACAGTTAACTCTGGACAAGCAAACTTTCAAGGTCATGAAAAAACTGAAATCTTGGAGTTAAACATACGTGTAGTTATTGCAAAGGAAACAGAAAATACAATCGCAATTTAGGTTTTTGGCAAAGTGGTTCAGCCCTACTGGGAATCCAGCGATATCACCCTCAAACTGGCCAGTCATTGGGATTTTAGCGAATCTAAGTGAATATAAGCTTTTTTTAGGTATATGCTAAAAACTACAACTACAAGAGTAATAAATTGATCACATTTCACCAACAAGTTATTTATAAACTGTTTCTCCACATTCCAGTATGATAGAGTGATCAGAACACACACTTTGTACAGGAAGAAATACATTCTGTTGGCTTTTTATCTAAATATAGTGTGTGGGCCTACCCTTTTGTAGATATATTTGTTTTTATTTTTAATGGTTTAATGCTGGCAGCTTGAATCCTCAAAACTCTGCACCCCAAGCTCGAAACTCTTTGAATTGCTGTGCGGCGCTTCTCAGACTTTGCATTTACACCTGCTGATCCTAACACTGTAAAAGTGTTTATTCTGAATTCAGCTTTAGATCAAATTTTCAAAGAAAATGTAAATTCTCCTTAAAAAGAAAAATCAAAATGAGATGTATTTCTGTTGAATTAGATTTTATGGTTGGATTAAATTAATCTTTGTACAAATCAAATCTGACTGAGTTCTAGTGGAGTGATTTGGACCAATATATAAAACAATGCATGAATATTGACCTGTTCTTATTGTAATAACTGTATGCTCTAAATTGGTCCACAGCTAAAAGCCCCGGCCAGCCCATCCACATCGTCTATGTTCCATCACACCTCTACCACATGCTGTTTGAGCTCTTCAAGGTACAGCACCCGGCACATTGGTTTTAAGCCAAGACTGGTTTTTGTTTGTTTTGTTTTTTATATCATTTTTCCTCTTTCAGAATGCCATGAGAGCCACTGTAGAGACCCATGAGACAAGCCCGACGTTGCCCCCAATTAAAGTCCGCGTCTCACTGGGCATTGAGGATCTCACCATCAAGGTAGCAGACTCAGTTTAACCGACGTGGTTCTGCTATTAAACTAAATATGGTTCCTAAAGTACCTTATTATCTTTATGCATCAGATGTCAGACAAAGGTGGCGGGGTTCCCTTGAGGAAGATCGAACGTCTCTTTAGCTACATGTACACCACGGCTCCCAGCCCCGTCCATGTAGACATGTCTAGAAACGCTCCTCTGGTGAGATTAACCATGCCGCTCTTTCTTTTTAAACTCAAATTAAAGGTTAATCTTTCATCTCTCAGTAAAGTTCTTTTTTTTTTTTTTATCTACTGTCGTGGTTTTAGCTCAGAATGAAAGACAGAGCTCTATAAGCTGAGCACAGCCTTACATAATTAAACATGGTGATTGCAGAGTGTAGGAATGCTGTCAGCAGCTTGTTGTTGGTTTAAACTGTAATCAGATGAAGCTTAATCTCTACAGGCCACATCATCAAGACTCTCCTCCTTTTTTTTCTCACTGCCTCCTGCTTTTAGGCTGGCTTTGGCTATGGACTGCCCATTTCTCGGCTTTACGCTAAGTATTTCCAGGGGGATCTGCAGCTGTACTCTATGGAGGGCTACGGCACATCAGCTGTCATATATTTGAAGGTGAGGCTTTGTCTGCATTGATTTTTGTTTTTCTTTTCACCACAGATCTGAAGTGTTTTATTTGGATTTTATCTGATAAACTAACACAAAGCAGCATGAAGTGAAAGAAAATTGGTTATTTTAAATGAAATTTAAAAAATTTAAATACAATTTGTATTTCACCCCTGCATTCTCAATAGCTCTTAAATAAAATCCACTGCTGCAAAAAATATTTTGCAATCGATGCTCTGTATAAATACAGCTGTTGTCTTGATGATCACTGAGGATCGGGGAAAAATGGAGACAGCTGAAGGTTTAGAGCTATTGTGAAATCATGGTTGGGTTATAAAACACTATATGAAGCTTTTTTAGAACTTTAAGGTCACTGTTCTGTCCAACATTGTAGAATGAGATGAATATAGCAAAGAGCTTTTATTATGCTGTACAAATGGTCATGAGATCGGATCTAACTGTGAGGGAGCTGCAAAGATTTCCAGCTCAGGTGGGAGAATCATGTAACAGTTAACATGACGTCAGCTGCAAGATGATCACCCTGTTCATGATGAGGTGTAACCCAGGAAGAACTAACCTGCTGTAACACAAGATGGCTGTAATGATGGAGATAAAGAAGCTAGTGACCTTTTCTGAGGTATTAGAGTCATTAATTATCTGATGCTCAGAATGATGTAATAAAATGTCAGCCCTTTAAGTCAGGGATGTTTTCAAGGACTTAATAAATGCTTTGAGTAAAATCTATGTGGTGTTATCTAATCAGAGCAAAGAAAGACCGAAATTTACATTTATCTTTTGTATAAAAGATAAATGTAAATTAATCTTTTATACAAAAGATAAATTTACATTTATCTTTTATACAAAACAAACTCCAGCTAGCTTAAAGTATTAACCATGTGGGCACCACTAACTAATATATTAGCTTTGCTACCGCTAAACAGCAAAAACAAGTTGGTGGATGCTAACGCTAACAGCTAAGGCAGCTGTCATCAAAAGAAAATGATATTGAAAGCATACGACTGCTTCCAGGCATAAATTAAAGCATTCTGAGCACACAGCTGCAATAAAAGAACGATGGACAAACAGGCTCCTCATGAAGTGTTGCAACCAAAAGACCAACACAATAAAATCGATTTTTCCTGTCATGCTTCAGCAACCTCAACAAAAAACATTAGTTAACTGTTAAGCTAATGACATAATTAGAAGAAAAAATAGAGTTTGCCAGCAGTTAGCTTCATACAGACGAACACATGGTTCTGTAGATTGTGTTGTTTTTAGCTTCTCCTTATTTGTCTTTGACACTTTTAACGATTTATTTAAAGTGTTGGGAATTGGGAAAAATAACTATTCCACCCCCTAAAACTTGTCTGCTCCTGACTAAGAAAGTTTAACCTTAAACAATTTTTGTTTGTTTTGTAAGAAATATGTTTGACAGAAATGTATGCAGTTCCTGCAGGTAAATTATGTTTCTCTTCAGTAAAAAAACAAACAGCAACCAATGATTAGTCAGGTGGTAACTAGCATCCCGGATTGTATGGCCGCTAATGTCATGTCAATTAGTCGTTCACTTCACATATCTGGCATTTATGGAGGTGGATCAGGGAGAAAGTACTGAATGCAGCTACTAGAGGACATGTTGAGGGCAGAATTACACTGAACACACCATCATGACCCATCCTGCCATGGGAATTGTTTTCTTCAAGAGAAATGAAAAAGCTCTTTTTAAAAGCAACTTTTACTGTTATTTGGTTGTTTCATAGTTAAAGAGAAATAACGCCCCTTTTTCTTACATTTTTTGATTGTTTTAAAAAATATATAATACAAGAAATCTCTTGCCTTCCACTTCTTTGGTCCATCAGAGACATAAAACTCCAATAGAAAACATTATGGGTTGTGTTGTTACTCATCAGAAGTTACTAATTTCACTGTAAAAAGATGTTTTGTAATAAACAGATATAACATATAGGAAGGATCAAGCATATAACTGTGATTTTAGAGAGAACATCAAATGAGATCCAGAGAATAATTCTTTCCTTTCTGTGATCTGAAACCAGGCCCTGTCCTCAGAGTCAGTGGAGAGACTTCCTGTTTTCAACAAGTCGGCCCTCAGGCACTACCAGTCCACCATAGAGGCAGACGACTGGTGCATGCCCAGCAAGGAGCCCAAGAAACTGGGCAAGTATGAGAGGACCCAGTGAGAGCAGACCGAGGAGAAAACGGAAGAGACTCTGAAACTGTTTGAATCAAAGTGTTAAAAAGAAATTGGAGGTTCTCTGAGAGGAGAAGTGATCAGAATGTAGCTGAGCTGGAATCTTTCTGTAAAAAGAACAGACCTTCTCTCAGATAAGAGCGTTTGTGAAAAAGAAATGATAAAAAGCAGAAAACATTTCAGACCAGCTTCTAAAAAAAACTCACAAGTCACATAAAGGTTTGTTAGTGCTGCTAATGGAAAACAAAAAGCTGAGCATTAGTTTTATTTCCTCTCAGTCATCACAAGCATTGAGAATCCTCATCTTTACAAAGTAACACTAAAAGTTTCCCCATTGGGACTTTAACTGTCACCTGGTTCCTCTTTCCCAGACCACCTGCCCCACTAATCATCCAGACATTTTTACTTCAGTGTTATCTTTAAACAGATCTCTGCGTGCAGAGCGAACGTCACTCCTTCACCATTTCTCTCATATTTATAATTAAGATGCAGGCGTGAAAACAGTGTTTCTCAGACTGAAGACTGACAAATCTGCTACTAAATGCAAGGAAAGGTGATGGTGTCCATGGCTTGGACAGGCCAGCTGAAACCAGCCAGCTTGGGATCACTCAGGTTAAACGTCGAGCGCGGTAACACAAAGGGAGCAAAGTCTTTTTATCACCCTCATTGCTTAACTCACTCAACCTCTGCTACTCCAAAATCACCTGCAATGACAAATGAGAAATATTTTACTTCATTTTTAGTGATTTACAAAAGTAAGAAAAAGAAACGAAATCATATATTTCTTATCTGGGAAAGGTTGATTTTAGTGATTTTTATTTGAAATATGTTCTTATTGTAGGATGGAACGTGTTCAGGCTGAATTTTTGAATTTGAATGTATTTTTATTTTTTTTTAAGATTTCCTAGAAATCTGCCAAAAAATTGTAGATTCCCACATTTTGCTGCTCTATGTCCTCAGTGTTTTGTAATGATTCGTGTGTTCTGTCATTCAGTTTTCCAGGAATACAGAAGACAGGTCAGTTAAACCTTATGTAAATGTTCAGTTCTTTTGCTTTTTATGCCAGCCACAAATAATAAAAAAAAAAAAAAAAGGTTAAAGTAAACCTGACAGCATCAGTTCACGTGGAACAAATAGAATCTGAACATATGATAATAGTGATAACGGTCTGTGGTTAAAGAGTGTTGGTGCTTCTTTGGCTTTCGGCAGTCATTTCATGGTGCTTTATCTCCCAGTATTTTCCATTCTAAAGCAGGATTAAGAAAACATTTCAGTAAGAAAACCAATTAAAACATCTGAAATAAACATATTTTCTCCTTCTCTGGGTTTCAGTACTCTTTGAATGGATCCATGCTTTCTCTGACTATGATGTGAAAGACAGACATGCCGTAGTGCATCGTGTAGTGGAAGAAAACTTGCAAATCGTTTTTAGAATATTTTTCTTCATAACGTATCCTAAAGATATGGTGGAGGATCATCAAAATAAGTGGTCCTCCTACTTGTCAATCATTCTGGTAATATATTTACTTAAGGCTGTCCTTTCTAGTATTTTAGATCATTTAACTGCTTTCCTTGTTTGCTGTACATTTAGTTGTCCTACTTCTCTTTACCTGCTTAAAAATAAACCCTTCCTGCAGCATGATGCTGCCACCACCATGTTTCTCAGTTGTGTTGCTGGTTGCATGGTAATGAACAGTGTTAGAGTCCTTTTTTTAAGCTAAGCTGACCAGGGGACGTTCTCCTTTATGTTTTGTTGGTCCCCTGTGGGTTTGTGGATTGCAGTACTAACAGTTTTCCTTACCCTATATTTTCCTTTATGAGCTGTGAATCTATGCAGGTCTTCCAAAGTTACCACTGGCCTCTTTGCTGCTTCTCTGATTAATGCTGTCATTGTTTGGCCTGTCAGTTTCGGATGGCAGCAGCGTCTTCGTATATTTAAAGTGCCGTGAGTTCTCCAGTTTTAATAATAAAATTCTTTAAACATGTCCACAGACGTATCTCTGGCCTGTCTGCTGTGTTCCTGGCTCGTCATGATATCATGTGTTCTGTAACGAGCCTCAGAGACCTTCAGAGAACAAATATATACCCCGAGATCAAAGTATGCACAGACAGATAGCGGGTTGTAGTGCATTTGAAACATGGTTTTCACATTTTAATTGATAAAGAAAAGTTAAAAACCTCTGTCCCATTTTCCTTCTACCCATAATCAAGCACTGCTCAGTGTTCCTCTTCATGTACAACCCCTGTTAAATGCATTGACGTTTAATCGCTGAGACAGAACAAACTGGAATTTGTAAGCGGCATTAGAAGTTTGGTCTTATTTTTAATCATTTGTGAAGTGGGATGCTTATTTAAATGACTTATTTTAAACGTTCGAAGGCTTGAGTTGATATGTTAAATGATTCATTACAGAAAGCTGCCCCTCTGCCCTGTGATGTAACACGCTGCAGGCCATCTCCTTGTTATCTTCAACTGACAGCTTCAGTCAAACACAGACTTCGTTGTGGTCGACACGTAGCAGCTAATAGGAGGGAAGCTGTATTGATTTAACAGAGAAGGCTTTACTCTTAGGGATAACAGATAACTAGTTACCATCACTTTAACAGCTTTATTTTTCCATCCTATCCTGACTTTGTTTAAAGCTTCTATTATTTTTATTTTTTTTATTGTTTAACGTTCAGTTTTTACTAAGATGACTTAAAGGCCAAGTGTTACCTCTAAGCTGAGTGTGGGCTCCTTCGCTAAACGGACCAGTGATTGCTTGGATTAGAAAACATCTCGCACCACTTTCTGTTTTGTTTGGTTTCATATTTACAGCTTTTAAAAATGTTATTAAAACTTTAACCTTGCCACCAGCTGACATCATGTAAACGTGATCTCCTGTAGTGTTTGCATGATCCTGAAAATTCTGGTTTCACTCGCTAAAACTTTCAAGCAATAAAAGTGTTTCTGGTGTGTTAACATGTCTGTGTGCCTCTGCTTTCTGTAATGACTCTGCTAAACTGTTGTCTCCCTCCTCCTCCTCCTCCTCCTCCTCGCTCTTGTTTTTGGAAACTTCGGTCGCTTTGTCAGTGGGTACAGCAGACACAGTCCAGTGGCTTTTCGTGGCCGTCTGCCAGCAGGAGTTTGGAACAGTCTGTTCTGCTTTGTTGAACAGCTTCATTAGCGTGCCTGATGATTCCTTCACTGAGATCTAGTTAAATTGTTCCTGTTCTGTTTTTAACTTTTCCATGACGCATCCTGTAGGTAAATGCATTGCTACCACTGGATTCTTAAAAGACATTGTGATTAAAGAGCATTAAATAAGAAAATTCTCATCAGTCACTTTAGTGGAGATCCTGCAAAAATCGAGCTTCTCAGATCTTTGCAAACATCAGTTTTACTTCAGTTTTGGGCTTTTAGCTGATCTTTTTCCATAAAACAAAAAAGAAAAAAAACTTTATTGAGCTTTAAAAGAAGAGTTAGATGCACATGTTTCAGCTCTTTTTGTTTTTTGATTTTTTTTTTTTTACATACAAATAAAGCGTTTGGTCCCAAAAGACTTTATTGTGATTTGAATGCAGCACCTGTCCGCTTTAAAATCATCAGTGTCGAGAGCACCTCATTCAATGCAGGTTTTAAGAGGTTTTATTTCCACTGTCAAAACAGTGTCAGCCGGAGGAAACCCGCAGCAAGCTGACAGTAGTGTTGCTAAGCAACAGACAGTATGATTTCAGTACTACATTCCCTGCTAGCAAAGTCTGAAAGAATCGCAAAATCCCCTCAAATATTGGGTCTCTGTCTGGCTGTTTGGTCTGGACCTGGGTAGGCCTAATAGTTTTCACTCCAGCATATAAGGTCTGAAACAGGGCTCTACAACCTTTAAAACCCAAACACCCATTTTGCCCCGAGTACATCTAGAAAAGTAATTTAAAGCCGCAAATTTTGATAAAACACAACTTATAATTTTGGTTTTGATAAATACCTATGATAGGGAACTGGTTGCCATTTGATTTGAATTTTTAGGTTTTGAAATAATAGAAAAACATTAAATGCTTCATAAAGAAAAATCATGAATTTCTTTTTGTAGGTTTTTATACCTCATTTCTTGTACACACAACAAGAAAAATGGATCTAGAAACATATCACTGGTTCTTTTAAATAATATAAAAAATGTAAGTCAAAAATCTTTTGAATCGTCAGCTGAAGCGCCCAAGACTTTTATTTGTTATACCGGTTTAAACACCTTTAGTTGGTTCATTATCATTTTGGCCTCTATTGAAAGTCATTACAGAGGCTCCAAAGACCCACTTGTGGCTACAAAGCTGCAGGTTGCAGACTCCTGCTCTAAACCAAGGGGGAGATTTGCTCTGCATCGCCTTAGCATAAGTAATTCCGTCTTCCCAGTTTCACAGTAAATTCAACACTTTATTAACCTCAAAGGCAGGGCTATGATGTAGGCATGTACTAAGCAGTGTCATTTTAACCACAGTAAAAGTTTAGCTGCAGTAGTTGCATTTTTTTTGTCCATAAAGGACAAAATGCTTTTAAGCCACATGATGCAGAAACACAAACGCAATTACAACAAAACTGGAAGAACCACTTTGACATAATTTATAGTTTATCTGCAAAAAAGAGTACATTTTTTAGCTGCTCTCAAAATATATACTCAAGCCTTGAATAATGTTTGGTTAAATGGTTAAATCAGTGCCATGTTTATGATCAAAACCTGAAACATTGTTTATTGATTAATGAATGCATGAAACACCAATTTTCCTAGCAGCAAAACAATCCCACACCATGATATCCCCACCACCATGCTTTACAGTTGGTGTTCATATGTAGGAAAGCCTTAGCTGAACTCACCAAAACACTTTTCTCCATCTTTCTCTTGCTGACCATGCTTGTCCATGAGGAAGGCTTAACATTTCAGATGTTTTTGACCAGCATTTCTTTTTGGTCTCCACTCCATCTGTAACACTCATTCATTTTGGACAGTGATGCTGGTGGTCAAGCACAACTCAGATGCGGATTTACCGGAGCCTTGGTGGTTCCAGTTTTACTTTTATCTCAGAATGACACAGTTTAGGCATTAAAAACAACATTAGGAAAGTCAACAGTTTCCACTTAGAACCTCAGTATCCTAACTTTCCTATTACAGCTGCTTCAGTCTATTTCCCCCTTATCGTTTTCTAGAAGGTGTGTCTGCATGCTGCTGGCTGTCATTGGTTTATTTTAAGTCTGACACTTTAGTCATCCAAACAATGTTCTCTGGTCTGGAGCGTGTTGAAAGCTTCAACAGACTTTGGATCTCTTCTTTTGTTCCAAGTTAGCAGAGTGCTAAAGTTTTCTTTTGCAAAACAACTGTATGTTTACACCGTAAGCCTTTAAACCTGTTACTCTCATTCACAAACTGTAAGAGAAACTGTAAGCCATATGAGTTCATGAGTTTTTGGATATTTACACTGTAGTGTTTGTTTAATAGGCTGAGACATGTTTGCCCTCAGGTTGCTCTGATAGCAGGACCAAAAAGAGCTGTGCTTTCAAATCTGCTAAGTCAGAGCTTATTTCAGGCAGCGTGCCCTGACTCTGTGATGCACAAACACACAACAGGGTTGGTCAGGTAAGGATTTAAAATAGAAGTCAAAGACACTCCTATCACTGGGCATGACCTATGGACGGGTAGAAGGTCCAATAAACTATAAACATTACTGGAGATAAACAACTCCTGTAAAATTAGAGATAGCCCATTGACACATAGAACTACACACATGTTCATGTATGATTCAGCTTGTTTTGGAAAAAAACATGTAAGAAACATGAAAATAGTTAGATATCTACTTTTTTATAACCTAATTGAATACAACTGATCATTTAACAGGATGAAACGAGTTTGAACCAGAGTACCCCTCCCTCTCTGCTCTGTTTCTTCAGAGCATGTTAGAACAAACCGTTACTAAAGAAGCTGTAAATGTAATATCTGCAATTATTTTTTTCTAGGTCAATATAAGCTAAACGTATGTGAGAGTTTAAAAGAAGTGGGGGAAAAAACAACTTGTTTACATTAACTATGCTGTATGATGTTGTAGGAACTCAGTCCTATCCTGGTTACTTGCCTTGTTATAAAGTGAGGAAAATTAATATTTGAACACCCTGTTATTTTACAACTTCTCCCCTTTAGAAATCATGGAGGGGCCTGACATTGTCATCATAGGTGTATGTCCACTGTGAGAGACATAATCTAAAAACAAAAATCCAGAAATATCAATAAATATGATTTTTTTCCCCTATTTATTTGTATGATACAGCTGCAAATAAGTATTTGAACACCTGTCTATCAGCTAGAATTCTGACCCTCAAAGACCTGTTAGTCTGTCTTCAAAATGCCCACCTCCACTCTATTTATTAAACCTAAATTAGATGCACCTGTTTGAGGTCAATGGCTGCAAAAAGACACCTGGCCACCCCATACAATCAGTAAGAATCCAACTACTAAAATGGCCAAGACCAAAGAGCTGTCAAAAGACACTAGAGACAAAATTGTACACCTCCACAAGGCTGGATAGGGCTACGGGAAAATTGCCAAGCAGCTTGGTGAAAAACGGTCCACTGTTAGAGCAATCATTGGAAAATGGAAGAAGCTGAACATGTCTGTCAATCTCTCTTGAACTGGGGCTCCATGCAAGATCTCACCTCGTGGTGAGATCCTTTGAAAGGTGAGAAATCAGCCCAGAACTGTACGGGAGGAGCTGGTCAATGAACAAAAAAAATATGGGACCACTTTTTCCAAGGTTACCGCTCGTAATACACTAAGAAGGAATGGTTTGAAGTTATGGGTGGCCTGGTAGGTTCCCCTGCATAAACCAGCACATGTCAAGGCTTGTCTTAAGTTTGGATGATTCAGAGGAGTCCTGGGAGAAAATCATGTGGTCAGATGAGACCGAAATATTACTTTTTGGTCATAATTCCACTAACCAAGTTTAGGGTAAGAATGATGTGTACCATCCCAAGAACACTATCCCTACTGTGAAGCATGGGGTGGTAGCATCATGCTTTGGGGGTGTTTTTCTGCACATGGCACAGGGCGACTGCACAGTATTATGGAGAGGATGACTGGGGCCTTGTATGCAAGATTTTGGGGAACAACCGCCTTCCCTCAGTTAGAGCATTGAAGATGGGTGGAGGCTGGGTCTTCCAACATGCCAACAAGTGACTCTGTAAGACGCATATCAAGGTTCTGGAGTGGCCTAGCCAATTTCTAGACCTAAACCCAGTAGAGAATCTTTGGAGGGAGCTCAAACTCTCTGTTTCTTAGTGACAGCCAAGAAGCAGGACTGATCAGAAGATCAGAGTGGGCCAAAATCCATCCTGCAGTGTGTGCAAACCTGGTGAAAAACTACAGGAAATGTTTTATCTTTGTTATTGCAAGCAAAGTCTACTGAACCAAATATTAACATTGATTTTCTCAGGTGTTCAAATACTTATTTGCAGCTTTATCATACAAATAAATGGATGGATGGATGGATGGATGGATGGATATTGTAATTCCTGAATTTTTCTTTTTAGATTATGTCTCTTACAGTGGACATGGAGTTACGATGACAATTTTAGACGACTCCATAATTTCTAAGTTGAAGAACTTGTAAAATAGCAGGGTGTTGAAATACATATTTTGTACTTATACTGTACATATACTGAGTTTGACTTTCATACAAGCCTAACAGTCTTTAGATAATTAGGTATCTTGTGAGGTAACATTGGTTTCATGAGATTTTATTGAGAGGTATATTGGGGGAAGGCTATATATACATATGCCACAAACCATCCAACATATCTGGTTGTTCCAAATGCCATCAAAAACTTACAATAACAGTGAGTTGTTGTTTTTTTGGTTGTTTTTTTTACTGGGAGGATTTTTGCCCCTTTTTTCTTTTATCTGAGCAACAACAAGATTTATTTTATAACCTGTTCCAAGCTGATATCAAAGACTTTGTTCCTGTTTTTCTGGACAAGATGTGTCAAGTAAGGAGATTATTTAACCCAACACAGTCAAAGTTGACTCAAAATTTCTAGGAGGTGATTATACAGTGCCAGGTTAATTTGCTAAGGTTCTTGTATTTGTTCTTTAGTCTTTGTCTTGTCTTTGTCTGATATTACAGTAAGCTTAAACTGAAACTAAAAGTTCTGTTTCAAACATGTCTTTCATTGTGAGTTTTAACTGATTACCTTTAGTTGTGAGGGAGCTCTAGAAGTCATGCTTGGGAACATGAACACATGTTATTGAAAGGCAAAAAAAAAAAAAAAAAGCACTAATTGTGAAGTGATCGGTCGTGAGTGCTGTAAGCCAAAATAGGAATACCATGAGTCTGAGAGTTAGCATTGAGGTAGGCTGGTTGCTAGGTAGCTCTGCATCTTCTTCAGCACGCTCCACCACTTTTAGCCTGAACTTCCCTTTGGTCAAGAACACAGTAAAATAACCAAAAGACAATACAGAAAAGGCTAGAACAGGGTTGATGTTAAAAACGTCTCTCCGTCAGTACAGTATCCCCTCAGGGTCTAATAATAAATATTTTTTCATAGCCGAAGGTAGGGGCAGTTGATCAACTCCTCTTTGACAAAACCCTTGCAGACTGGCTCTGATGGCACATCTGGTGAGGTGGAGCAGGCGGCGTGGCGTGTTGGCACAAACCGCAAACAGGGAGTCATAGAAGTCTTTATGTCGCTGCAAAAACAAAGAAACCACAAATGATTTGGGGAGGGAAAAAATAAGGCGTTTATTTCGTAGGGGTGCAAGGGTTTAACTTCAGTATCTAATGGGGTTCCGTGCAAAGCAGAATAGTAACCAAAGAGGAGAACTTTGCAGATATTACCTCATAGCAGTCGTCAGGAATGGCTGCTCTCCATTTTTTTGTAGGCTTTAAATGTTCATAGGAGTTCACCAGAATTTCTACAACTCCTGGGTAGTCATGACAGACTTGCAACACCTGCCAAAAACATTACACATCATCTAATGCACTGAAAGCTTCCCTACACCTTTTCACTTTGTGGCGTAATACAACTGAGCATTTCAACGTGTTTTATTTGTGAAAAGTTTAAGAAACCATGCATTCCTCCCCCTTTCACTTCAGTGCTTTGGGTTGATACAAAATCCCAATGAAAAAACAAAAGGAGTATAAATATTGTTCTAAGGACGTGTGGATTTTACACCTGGCCCTTCAGATGCCCATTCCGGTACCTTATGGAACTGTGGAGGGTAGATCCGAGCTGTGTTATAGTTCAGCAGCAGCTGATAGCAGACCTCAGGAATGGCCATGGGCCGGACTCCTGTTACTTTCAGGACGTACTGTATGGCAGCGCAGCCGTTGATATCCATGGCTCGCGCGTCCGCTCCGGCTTCCAGCAGCATTCGCATCAGGATGTGATCACAGTTCCAGGCGGCCTTGTGAAGAGCTGTTTTCTTATCGTCTTCCCTCAGGTTGGGATCTGCAACATCCGAATGATTTCTTTTTTATTTTTATAAAAAGCAACATTTCTAACACATTAAATCCTCTGAAGTGGATCCAGAAGGCCTCACCTGCTTGGTGGTCCAGCAGAAGGCGACAGACAAGGTGGTGATCTTGGCTGTAGGCTTGCTCCTTGGAGTCAAAAGCCCAAAAGACCGCAGTCATTAAAGGGGTCTCTTTGAGAGCGTTGAGGGCGTTTACAGATGCCCCATGGGTCAAAAACAACGCCACCAGTTCTGGAACCCCAAATCTGGCAGCTGTATGCAAAGGTGTTTCTTCCTCATTGCTGTGGCTGGCTGCGTTGACCTTTGCACCTTAGTAACCATTAATTATCATAAATTAACATTTATATTTACTTCCATACAGGTTTATAATCATGCATCCCCGTTCTACCTTTGAGAATGAGCTGCTTGGCGCACTCCACAGACTCCCTGGCAGTGCAGTAGTGCAGAGGCGTATGTCCACTCAGTGACCTGCTGTTGACCTTTGCTCCATTCGCCAGGAGCAGGGCTACAAAATCACTGTTGGAGACCTCGCAGGCCACATGCAGGGGCGTCTTCCCGTTAGGCATCCGGTTAATGGCTGCGCCCTTCTGGAGGAGCACCAGTGCTGTTTCCAGAGCGTTGTACATAACACAAATATGAACGCCCATGGCCCAGGATTTCTCCAGCTTGTATTCTGGCAACCAATATCCTGGAAGAATCAGACATGTTTGGAGATAATAGTATAGCTTCCATTTTAGTTCATGGTTTCCTTCCGTTTTGAGATGTGAGAAGAAAACACATTTTTAGTCGCTTGTTGTTGTTTACAACAAACAAACCAGAAGTTTATGGGAGTTTAGCACCACCTAGTGGTTCTACACCTGTCTTATGTAGGGAAATGAAAAAGGTTTTGTTTTACCTACCCTGTTTATATGAAGCTAAGACCATATTTGGATCATCCACCTCGAACACGGTGTCAATATCAAGTTTGCTAGTGTGCAGAATTTGTATGACCTCCTCAGCATTGTTTTCCTGCAGGGCCTTTAGGAACTTCTCCTTTAGATGTTTGACTTCCAGTTGCCTGGGGCTCAGCTCCTCCATGAAATCCTGTAGAAGGGTGCCTTGTGTTCCCAAATCAGTAGGATCAGGGTCTACTATTGCCCACAAAGCACGTACAAGGTTGCAGATGATCACACAAACAGCAGCAATGAAGGAATCAACTATTTCCACCATTAGAACCAGACCATGGGAGCTGTTTAGGGAAGGAGGACGGAAATGAAGTCGAAGAAGACGGGAAGCAGACGTCAGGGGGAAAAAATAATCATGGATTCCTGAAGCAAGTATAAATAGAAAGGTAAGAGGTGGGTGCTGGCTCACTGTAGAACAGCTGTTCAGCTGTCTGTCATTCAGAGGAAAGTCACATAACCATCTGTCTGAGGATGACAGGAACACTGGGACTTTGTGTCCAAGAAACCAACATTTCTTGATTGGAGGTTCTCAACACTGATTTGACCAGACAACTTTCAGGGGAATTCTGAATTGTTAAAATACTGAACAGATAGACAATCAATAAAAAAAATAAAAAAAAAAAACAGCTCAGAACTTAAGGGATTTAATAATATTGTTTCTGCACACTTATGTCATTTGACAAGGGAGGAGCAGGGTGTTATTAGCCAAAAGTTGCAATCCATCTAGGTAAAGATTTTAGTATTCTTTTATTCTTTTTAAACAATCAAAACATTTTTAAGAGCATTCATTATTTAAAAAATAACCTAATGACCTAGAATGAAGGATAAATAAAAGTCACATGTACCTAAACATTTAATGTAAAACAAAAGTAGCCAATTAGTAAAAAAAAAAAAAAAAAAACTGATAAACTGAACCATCAGATTCCAACAGTTTTTAATTGGTTACCAAAAAAGAAACTGATTTCACATAGTCAGTCTTTACAATTGAAAAGACAGAATAACATATTTTTCTTATCCACCAGAGGGGGCTAGTGCATATCTCCAGCAATCAATGAGCAAAACTTCCCTTAGCAAAAAGTAGTATACTTGAAGTATACTAAATTGTGACATTTTTAAGTTTACTAAAGTATATTTAAAGTATACTTTAGTAAACACCTTTTATAATTCTCAGTGTAAGTCAAGTACACTTGACTATACTAGTGTTAAGTATATGAAATATAGTTAAGAATAAGTAAACTCTTAAGTGCACTGCCTGATTTTAAGTATGAAATTAGTGAACTTTTAGTATACTTGAATAAACTACTTTTTGCTAAGGGTTGGGCAAAGGCAGAGAATTGAAAAGTAAATAATTGAAAAGTAATAATTTGAAAAGTAATAAATGTAGTGGAAAATCCCATCAAGACTACGTAGAGGAGTTGTAATGTTGTGGGCCTTTTTATTCTGCAATGTTTTCAACTAAGAATGCCATCTCAGCCCCAAATCCTGAAGGTGTGTTTGGAACAAAAGAACCCAGAAATCTCATGCCATTGTGTGCGCTTATCTTACAAAAAGTATGCTACTAAGACTTTTAACAAATCCTTTTTGTTATGATTATGCAGGAGTGCAAACAGCTGTGGAGAGCCCTGCTGTTTTTCTAAACATTTATTTTCTTAAGTCGAAGGTGCCAACAATACCAGTTTGGTACGCATTTTAAGAAATGTAACAGAGGCTTGTCACACCAAGGTGTGTGGTATATGGTTTAAAACTGAGAAAAGGTGGAAGAAAAAAAAAGAGAATTTGAACCAACAAGGAATTCTGAATTAGATTTAAAAAAATCCAGTAAGGTTTTAAGCACTTAATTGACTCAACTTGTTGATGCTAAAATACAATTTTATGTCTATTAAATGTGTGTTTGGTATTTTAATTAACAAAATGTATTTTAAACCATTTAACATTTCTATGACATAAAAAAAACTCAGAAAATAAATCAACAGGAGTGCATGTTACTGTAAAATAGAATAGGAACGATGAAATAACTGAGGCAAAGCATGGACAATGACAGCACATTTTATTTAGCGTGACAGATCGCTGCCCTTTCAAACTGCAGAATGCAAAAAAAAAAGAAAAAAAAAAGCAAGGCAAAGAGGGAGGGGGGCAGCTTTATAAGGGTAAAAGCATGACTTACTTTTTATGGCAAACGTCTTTCACTCTTTAATGCACATAAAAGACAAACGTCTCCAAGTTTGACTCAAACCTTTGTTATATCTTCACCTGCCAGAAGCACCAGTTTCTCATCCTTACATGGGATAAGTCAGCCCAGGCAAGCTCGGACAAAACAAAAACACATAGAAAAGATTCACAGCGGAGTCACATTGGTAGCTCGGGTCTTCTAAAGCCTCAGGCAAGTTGCGCAAACACACTGACACAATATAAAACAAGGCTTCTGCAGGGTTCTGACACCATATTGCTTTTAGTGTTTAACTGTACATACAAAAAAAGGAGTCAAAAGAGTCCAGCTTGCTGGATATTCACAGAGGGTTAGAAAATATTTCATAAGAATAAACCTTTTGCAGTAGCACTGAAGTACTGTGGTTGCAAGAGAGGAAAACCACAAGCACAACAGGAAATGACTGCTTTTTCCTTCTCTCTTTGGATGAACTTTTATATTTTTCCTTCTGACTCAGTTTGAATGGGAGGGTTTAATCATGGTTAGGAAAAAGGGTTTAATCCTAAAATTCTTGATTAATCAATGTTTACTATTTATAAAACTCTTTTCATAAGTTAAAAAAGAACATATAGATACTTAGTAAAATATATTAGATAAATAATAGTGATTGGTGAGGCCTGTTCCTAATTTGTAAGCAGCAAGTTAACAAGTCTCCTTGGACAAAATGGTAATTGTGGTGCACATCGCATCAAATGTTATCCTGGTGATGGGGAGCAGACTTTCAGAGTCTTGAATAACATTAGTACAAATAACTTCAAAATGCATAAGGTCATAACAGTAGCAATTACTGTGTTGGATAAGAAATTGATGGTGGAGATGCACCAAGCGAATGGATAGTGAACAGAATCAAACGTTTTTCTGTTTAAGTTTACAACCGATGTTGGAAATAGAAATAAAAAAAATAATCATGAGAATCTGAGAATGCACCAGTGTAAGACCTATCAGGATCGTCTAACAGCAACACTCTTCAGTGTGGATGCAGAGTGAAGATCACCGTTAGGAAATGGCAAGAATGTAAATTTATAATTTAGGGGATTGTTTAAAGGCCAACTTTATGAAGGTTTGTGTAAATTATACCCCCAAAAAAACTATTTGATATTTTTAAAAATGGGTAAGTTAAACAAAACTTTAGCTACCAGTTTTTATATTTAGTTCAGTCACAACACTACAGAATTTTAACACCTGAATAACTAATAGTTTCAAAAACAGTATGTAGTATGTTTCATAACATATATTATTGATGGATTTTAGCCAACCACTGAACTTTGGGAATATATAAAACCAGGCTCACACTGAACACGGCGCAGCTGCTGAGCTGTGCTGCAGAGAGTCACTGCAACCAGGTGCTTCCTCCTGCATCTCCAGCTGCAACAACAGCACTAGAGAGATAAAGAGTTCAAATGGGTTCAAGCTCTATCCTGGAGTCGGTCAAAACTTTTTGGTGCATGTAAATGGACTGTTCTCCCTGCTGCCCTCTGGGAAGAGTTTTCACAGCATTCCCTACAGGCCCAGCTGATTCTGTAACAGCTTTTCCCCCCGCTGCCATCAGACTCTTGAACCTCTAATCAAGACTCTGTATCAAACATATTTGCACTACGAATGTGGCGGACTTTTTCATAATCTCTTTAAATAAAACACAGCTTAATGTTCTACTGCATTTTGCAGCATAATCATTTATTTTGCGCTGCACTGAACCTTTCCATATTAATGCCTTTTGCACTATGACTTTAAATTGGTTTCCTTTTCTCCTACACGGTCTACTTTCTGCTCACTGCTGTGCTTTATCAATGGTAAAGTTCATATCATGTTGTTAGCGGTTCATTCACTGTTCAAAAGCTGTATGCATCAAAAATTTCGTTTTGAATGAACTCTGTGATACAAAATGATAATAAAGTTTGTCTAAGTGTAATTATCCCTCTCATCGTCCAATATCCACTCTCTCTATTTTGCCTATTTGTTTTTCGGCAGTCAGATTATTGTAGGTCGGTGGTGCTATTCCTGTTTGGCAAAAACCTCCTTCTTGCGTAAAGACTTTGTTGATCAACATCACCTCGGTTACAGCACCCGCACTTCACCATGGCTGAGTGTACGTATTGCTTGTAATGATTTTGGTTCCATTTTGGTTGATTTGGTTCCTTGCTGCACCGCGTTCAGTGTGAGCCCCGCGTAAAGCTTCACCTTTTTTTTTCATTTTTTTCTTATAATTTTGAGCCATCGATCTATATATTTAATGGAATACTCTGGTTTTGGAAAAGCATTTGTGTTTTTTTTGTAGATCATAAAAATAAAACACCAAAAGAAGATTGTGATTTTGGTAAAGCTGCTCTTTCTTTGCCATTTTGTCCCTGTTTTTTTAAATATTAATATAACCTTGTGTAATGCTCCCAGCAGCTAAGCTTTAAAAATAAAAAAAAAAGTGCTATGTTGTATGTGTGGTATGCTCATGGTTTAAAAAAAAAATATCAGCATCATTCGATCAGAAATCCAAAATAAAAGTTAGATTGGTACATCTCTCCATGATGTGGACTTCCAGTGCAACATTACTGTGTCAGGCATGGTTTTTACACATAAGTCATTAAAAATAACAACAATAAAGAATTTAAGAGAATTAGCTTAGCAGTTGTTTCAACACGCACACAGAAGCAAGTAGAGCTCAGGAAGTATTCAACTACTCTAGCATGACCAAAGGCAGCAGCAGGATTGAACTCTTTTACAGACTTACAAAAGAGGTCAGAAGCAGGCTATTGGAGGAGTCGGAGGACTGTTATGCATATGAGCAGGAAGTTTCAATAAATGAGCTTCTTGAGGATTTGATTAGGTTACAAATTCACTGCTTACACAGTACCTGAAGATCAATTACAAACCCAGTCCAGTCAATACAGTACGGCTTTTTTCAGTCGTACCCTGATAGCTGCTTTTTCAACATATAATGTTAACATTTACAGTGTTTGTAATTCCAGTGTTCTCCAACAGAGCATCTCCCTCCCATGTTCTGCTTCCTTGGATGGAGAACATAAGCAGCATGGAGACACCTTGTGTTGAGAGATGGCAGACCTGATCTGCTTCACAAAAGCAGTATATACTGCTCATTTAGATTTACATAAGTCTATTAAAATGGCACATTAGACATATTATTATCTGTATCTATCGCTGTACATGGACATGGGTTTTATCTGTGACAGTATGGGAGGAGGGCGTGATTAAAATGTCACAAACGTTACTCTGGATATGAATAAATAAACCCAATTTACAGCTATAAACAGCAAAATAAATAGAACTCAGTAACTTCTGGAAAAGTGTAAAATCACAGGATGGGAAAAAAAGGGAGAAAACAAAGGGCAGGATCCCAAAAACCAACCAAAAGCTTGTTCTGGTTTTGGTTTACAGGGTGAATAGGTCCCCTTCCGTCAGCTGTGGAGCTCCAATGTTGAGAACTACAGAGCAGGCGTCCCTCTGGGTTTCGGGAACCTGCTGACTTTTTGTGCCACTAGATGCTACTCTATGTGGCGCTAGAGTACAACAACAGGAGGTAAGGTCTTTTTTTTTTTCACTCAATGTTGCTTTCTTTGCATGCACCCTTCTGCTGCTGCTCCAGTTCTCGCTTGCGTATTTTCTGCCGTTGTTTCTCAACTTTCTCCTGGTTGCGCCTGGCCTTCTCCATTAGAACTTTAAGGTCTTTGATCTTTTTCTTGATTAGGGTACGGTCCTGGGAAGAAGTGACACCCAGGGTCTGAAAAACAATACAGAAAATAGAAATCTTTAATTTCTTTTAATCTTAGATTATAAGTCCTTTAAGCACAGCTTGATTTAGGAGGAACGAACTGCTACTATTAAGATTTGTGTTTGTGACAAAAAGACATCCTTTTTATATGTATTTGGAGGTTTCCATACTCTCAACATGAGCATTAATATATCAGCTGCTAGTAATTATTTTTTAGAGCACAGAGGTTGCCAGGATTTGTTCGTCAACAAAGCGTAGTCATAATTCCGTCTGGACATTTGATTTACTGATTCAATAGAGCTCATTTAAACTGGTAGGCGCAGGAGAAAATGGAGGATGCAGGAGCACCAGCGTCACTATCTGCAGAAAAAACTGTTACTAAAACTGTGCCAAAGAAGAAAGAAGCATAAATAGATTGTCAGCAACTCTTTTAAACAACCAAAATGGCCAAATAAAAGAAATAAATGAGTCCAGTGAGGCCTTTCATCATGGAGCACAGTAATATTTGTCAAGCATGGTAGTGGCAGTATCATGCTGTGAGGCTATTTTCCTGTCAGTGATACTGGTGTATTGTATTCAATTTGAGCTCAAATTACCACTATGAAAACAAGTTACAGGAGACGACTGCTCCAGCAGGATAAGGACTTCAAAAAACATTAAAAAAATATTTTTTTTTGGTGTGACTGTGTGTTCCTCCAAAATGTGTGGTCAAATATCTATGAAGAATTATGCCAGAAGTTTGTGGATCGCTATAAATGTCTTTGGTCAATGTGCTCCTTTGCTAAAGGACATGCTTTTTCCATTTATTTCTGACTGTAGATGACATGTTGACATTGTGTGGAGGAGATATTTGTAATAAATGCAACAAACCCCATTTTTCCAGGTCAAAGAGCAAAACTGAAATAAACAATCCTACCAATAGCGAGTATTGAAACTTACCAGACCTAGTAGACCCTTTCTATCTCAATTTTCATTTAAATAATAAACACAAAGTCACCTTGAGTTCAGCACTCTCCAACTGCAGCAGCTGCTCCCCGTCTATGTTTTTGGCAGTGAATTCTGGGATGTGGTGTTCTAAATTGAGGCCTGTGAGCCAGCTGGCCACCTGCTGTGAGGTCCACTCTGTGATGCTGCGGTTCTGCCACTGATGCTGCTTGAAGGACTGCGCTTCTTCTAGGATCTGGTAGAAGAATATAAGTACATTCAATGCAAAACTGAGCAGAAAGGAACAATGTTAAACATTAAAAGTGAATCAGCTGAGGAATTGGAGCCCTGTTGGATATTTATAGTCCAACATTACAAAATCATGCAATTCAGAAATGTTTCTAATGCTTTACAGTTTATGAAAATATGTCAGGCATACGTGCATAAATGAACAGTTCAAGCACAGCAGGGACACAAAAACACAAGAGACGGAGAAACACATTTGCTCTGGAGGCTGACAGCCTCAGTCTCACCTCATCATCTATCATATCCAGACTCTGAACATTGCAGCATGAAAAAAAAGAGAAGGACTTGGTTTGTTAACAGAGCAGAAATAAAGTGACTTCGGCTACAAAAGCCAAGAAAATGTTAAGATATTTAATCCAATTTGAGGTAACGACTATTATATGAAAAAAAAATTTCTTATATCAACAAGAAAATAATTATCAACATGAAATAATTTACTCTGATTATCTCGAGCTTAATGATTCAAATAAATCACATTACCAATCTAATAATCATGCTCATGGCTGTGCCTCCTCCAAAGAGGAAAGGAATATTTCATAAGTGTATTTTGTACCTCGTCTGAGGACAGCACTGGGGTGTGTGAGCGCCCCGACATCTTGGCGGCGCCGAGCAGACCACTGATCTCCACTGAGCTGCTGCTGCTGCTGGCGCTCACGTCGTCGCGCAGAGCTGGAGCCTGAAGAGTCAGAATTGCATTTAGTGAGGCTTGCAACAGGAGCCAGCTGGCGTTGAGACCGAATGTAGCCGCTTAGCTGGAGTGCTTTAGCCTTACTGACGTTTCTGTGCAGCACTATTGATTTAAAGATGTAGAATTAGTGAGTGGATAGCTGGATCAAGGGTGACTCACTGGGTATGCTTCTTGAGCAAAGAGAAGAGTGAATAAATCAGAACAAGGGAGGCATATGTTTGATTGTCTGTCAGAATGATTAATGCGTTTTCTAATAATTTAAAGCAGCTACATGGAGCGAACTTAGAAAAAGCCATAGACATAAAATCCTCAGATACTGGATTTAAACACAAATTATAGATGTGATTACACTAGATAAACTTAGATGCTTTCCAGCTCCTCAGGCCTCACTACTGAATTCAAACCCTTTGAACTTTTACACACTTTGTCGCATCACAAATTCTGTCTATTATTTTTTAGATCAACACAAGGTAATGCAAGATTAGAAAGTGGGAGATAAATTACTTTATGATTTAATTATGTTTATTTTTTTTAGTTTATTCATATACAGGCCTCAACACTTATATATTAGAAATATAAGTGAATGATGGCTATTCATCTGCCAACAGAACAATTAAAATATACCCATGTGATAGATGGCCTAGTCAAAGTTTATGGCAGAATGCAATTAAAAATGCATTTAAAATGTTTTTCCATCCCATCTGACTCAGCTTCAGCTATTTGTGACAGATTTGCAAAGCTGAGAAAGTTGTATCCTGAAAGTTGATTTAGACTTGGGATACGTGAATCCACAAAATCATTCAAGGCCTGAAATTGTTTTTTTGTTTTATGAAAAAAAAAGGAAATATGAAAACTATTAATTAATTAGGGTTGGTCTGTCACATACAATTTAAGTCCTATACACTGAGTTTGTGGTTACATTACAAAGTGAGGAAAAGTTCAAGAAGTATCAATAAATGTGCAAATTCCAATAAATGTACAAATCGATCAAATTATACCTTAGATTCCAAGATCTCTTCTTTAATTTTTTAGACAAGAGCTGCTTTAAAAAAAAAAAAAACAACTAATAAAAATAAAGAAGTGTAGACAACATAATGGATCATCAGATGAAGCCTGAGTAACTGTTTCAAATTTTCATTCAGATTTTTTCATGGTAGAATTGATATTACTCCTAAATGTAAAGCAGATATCAAAGTCTGTCAAGACCAAAAGCAATAAAAGATTTTGTCTTTAGCAGCTTAGAGGGATTATTTGAGCCTTGGCAGAGTTTGAGCTAAAAGTCAGACTAATCTCGCAGGCTCAGACTCTCAGGCTCAGTAAGTCAAATCTTCACCTAAAAGCATCTAATATGCACATCAGTTCCTCTGTGATTTATGTACACTCATCTTTAGATAAGCTTGTTCTCAGAGAGAAAAGAGATTGCTCACAATCAAAAGGTAATCTCATTTCTAATAGTACGTTAATCACATTGGATAGAAGTAGTTTAGCTGCAAGACCTATTCTGCAAAAAATGCATTAGATGGATAATAAGTAACAGTGTTTGCAGCTACTGGTGTATTTATGGTTTAAGGCATGGTTCATTTCAAATTTACCCCACAGAGAGTTATTATTATCATTCATGTTTAAGGGAAAAATACAGTACCACATAATATGAATAGGAGAAGAACTGGGGCCAAGAAAGGGAGCTCTGTTTAACAGAAATAAAACACGGTGTCAAAGCACAAAACAATAAAATACCAATAGTACAATAAGCTGTTTGGAATTTAGCTTTCAAACAAACAAAACCATGTTTTTTAAGTCACTAAAGCAGTATCTTCTTCCTAAATGTATATTTTCCCAAATGAAAAATATTTCTGTAATGTTTTTTGTGCAGAAGCCACAAAGAGATTTGTCTTTTCCGCAGCAAGGAGGACGTCAAGTTTACCTTAGCCTTTGGATCATCCTTTGCACTGCTCTCTGCTGGCAGCTCAGCAGAACTGAGAGAGACAGGAAAATGGAAAATGACAGAAATCATCAGACACACATTCATATATTCATCATAGATCAATAATGATTTTGGTAAGTATGACTAAAAGACTTGCTAAACATCAGACCAAACTAAACTTTGATAGACAGGAAGCAGAACATATTGAGAAATAATGATGCTATTTTGGGTTTAATTTCCAGCTATGTTTTTCTTTCTTTATTTAGTGTTTTGCAGCCAAATTATGCAATGAAATGTAAAAAATATTAGTATGTTAGGGCTTTTTGCAAATTCTAGAAAGCTTTTAATTTGTAGGAATTGTGTTATAATCAGAATTAAGCTGAGATGAAACTAGCAGAATTTGAATATGTCTGTATTTGGACTGAGCTGTTATCAAATATTTTATAAATTTTTAAATGGAATTGGAATTTTTCTCTCATAATAAATAAACCAAACAAAAAAACAAAATAATTTAATGGTGATTTATTAATTTATTCATATATAAATATAATACAGCTGTTCCCTAACCTAAGAACATGGGATGTGAAGAAATAAACAAAACCAAATTCTATATGCCAACAAGTATTTTTACATTTTGATGTTTAGATTTAAAATATTAAAGTTATATTAATAAAGCAGAGGTATAGGCTGATTTATGCATGTCAGGCAGCGGTGAGCTTTATGCAAACCAGCTGATAAGGAGAGATCGTCAGGATTTTCCTTTAGTGTAATTATTCAATCATGTCAACAAGATTTTGGTAGTATTACGGCCCTTAGGGTTGCATTGGGCGATTTTTTAATTTTGAAAAATGCCTACGCTCTCCTCTTGCCTTTTGTTTAAGTTCCTGTTGCCTTTTATCTGCTAATGATTCAGTTCCTTTTCCTTATTAGTTCTTCTTCTATCTGTACCCTTTGATTTCTGTGAGACTTCATGATAATAAGCATATAAAGAAGCAGCCTTATTGTTTGTGTTTTTTACCCAAGTTCCTCCAGTTTTTGCGTTGAGCTTGACATTAAAACAGATTGAGCTCCTGCAAAAAAAAAAAAAAAAAATCATTAACAACATTAATATTAATCCAACAGGGTGGAGTGTATCAGCAGATGTGCTGCAGTTTGATGCATTTTAACTTTAAATTGTAGGTGTACCAACCAAGTGGTGTTTTTCTGGGGGACCCCTCTGCACTGGTCCAAACTGATCCAGAGGTTTGGGAGGGGCTTGCATGTGCCTCAGAGATCTAAGGACCCACCGATAAAGACAGAAGAGGGTCATTTAAAAAAAAAAGGCAAAGACTAGAGAGAAGCACAGTCTGATGTGAACAACTAGAGCTCCACACTGATATGACAGAAATCCCCTGACATACTTTCATCTCCGATTCCTTGTCCTCTTTTTGTTTTTTCTCCACTAAGGCGCCTTTGCTACTGTTTTCTTGCCAGTTCTCATCTCGATTTGTTCCTCTAATCTGGAGATTTTCTTGCTCTAGCCGAGCTAAGAGACAGCTTCAGCCACATGAGAGCTGAGCATCCAGAAATCTCCCCTAGTGCTGATGTTTTTATCACGCTGGGCAGGACAGGACGCCATGACAGCATCACATACTTTATTAGAGCGACACATTTACTCACAGCAATTATTCTGTTAAAAGAATAAAGCAGAACGGACAGAGGGTAAAGAGCAGCAAAATGGAAACAGTCGCACTGATTTGACACTTTTGAGTGGATCGTCCACTAGATGTCATTGGGATTAAACTCCTGCTGGTTAAAATGACAAAGATAAAGATGGAGATCAGTGTGTTTATTTATACAAACCTGTCCTTCTGGAAAGCCGACACCATCTCCTGAGCAGTCTGTCTTTATGCTGGATGAGTGCTTTACTTCTGCAGAAGAAACTGAAATAAAAAAAAGGGATTTTCTAATAAAAGTTTTCTATCAGTTTGAGGGATTGTTGACACTGCAGTTGTGGAAAACTTGACTTTACCTGTATTATTTATTCATCAAATAATACATCAGCCACCTTAAACTAAAAATTCTCCTTGTTTTTTTTTGGGATTTCAATTCTTTATTAAGGTGCTAACAGACATTAGCACTTATTTTACTTTCTATCATATCCTAGCGGTATCCATCAACTCTCTGCAGAATAAACTGTACGTTTGAAATCGGCTCTGATCCGATCACTCTAACCCCATTGGACGCGCCGCCTCTTCGAGCCGGCTCTGTTCCGATGGATGAAGCGAAGCTGAAAACAAAGCTGAACGGATAGATGTGCTTGAACATGGATTACATGTTTGTTTTGGTCTGCAGAAGTTTTAAGGGGAGAATTTAGGTCAGGGGCGCAAGTGTGTCTATGGTTTATTTAAAACTGAAGCCAAATGTGTGTGAGTGTGTGTGTTTGTGTGAATAGTCCGACCACTCAAGATGGAGATTTGTGATTTAAAATCTGCTAAATCAAGCAAGAGAAGTCGCTACACTAGCAATATAGTGAGTCAGTTACAGTTTAACTAAAAAAAAAAAAAATAATCAAATCCCACTTTCTCCACATTTGATTCGACATTATATAATCTGGGCAATCTGGCTGGTACACAAATTAAAAGGTGGATAAAAATAAGAAATTAAGCAGTTGGAAAACTCTGATAGAGTTACTATTCATATTCTTAAACTATGACTTTAAGTACCTCTAGCAGTCCATCTTGCTTAGAGTCTATTAAGGCATCAGATCCAGACTTGACCTTTGACCCAAAGATCTTCTAGCTTTTCCTTTCCAAATGTATCTTTAGAAAATGTGGCTGGAAGTTTGTAATAGGGTCACAAAAGAAATTCCCTGACAATGCTTTTAAAGATTACATCCAACACTGCAAAAACGATCTAGAAATAAGTAAAAATGTCTTAAATTAAGTGTATTTCCCCTTAATTATAGCAGGTGAATAAGATGATTTGCCAATAGAATGAGTAGTTTTGCTCTTAAAATATGATAATCAGATAATATGCAATTGAAATAAGACAATGCAATTGTTTTTTCTTATTTTAAATGTAAATTGTCTTGTTCCATTGGCAAACTGTCTCACCTACCACCCAAATTCAAGAAAAAATGCACTTATTATAGAAAAAATTACTTATTTAGATTTAAATTTTTTGCAGTGAAGCCTGAAGCATTTCTTTTGAGACCACTTTTTATTCACACCTATGTAAACTGAACCAGATTCATTCTGAATGCTCTTTAGGGCACAGCAAAGAGGAGGAGAGGAAAAAGAACACTAAAGAAAGTATTTCCTGTAAAGGTTTTGCTCATATATGCAAAACCTTTTTAGCAGCTGTCTGTTTTTTTTTTTTCAGCTGAACTGCTGATGAACTTTAAAGCCCAAATTATTCATAAACAAGGCAGATTCAAATAGTAAAATAATAATTAATCCTTTAATTTGACCCAAATGTTTCCTCTGACTGGAAGTGGTATTAAAATGTTTAAGCAGCTCAGCCAAAGTCCAAACTTTATTCTGATAGAGAATCAGTATAGAAAGCAAAACAGTAGGGGTTTTGAGCTTATCACCAAAAATAAATACCAGCAGAAACACACTAAAAGCTGCTCAGCTGATATAAGGAACACCCGATTGTTTTAAGTGATCATTAGTAAAGGTATAAAACATTTTGGATGCAATATTTTTAATTAAGATTTGAACAAATGCTTTTTTCTTGCATTAAATTCATTTTTTATTGAAGAGATACATGTCTCATTCGCTGTTAGAAAGAAACTTATTGGTAAATCTAATCAACTTTGGTTTTGGTCAGAAGTACAGTAGGAATCACTTTGGGTTTAACTCTATATAACATTAAAATTGGAAAAGGTTTGAAAATAATTAATCAGAATTTATATACATTTCACTGTTTTGTTTTTTCTTTGTTTTGGCATTAGTAGAGGTATCCTGCTAGGATAAACTTTCAGCAAACTATGTCCAAACTAATTCACATTTGAGCTGCATTTTATAGATGTGATGCAGAAATGTAAGCTTTGTGTTAAAAAGCTGTCAATCGTTGGAAGGGTGAACTAATCAAAAATCTCAATCAATGTTCTAAAATCCTTGAGAAGTGCCGCTCCTTTGCAGCAAAGCACTGTTTATTTCATGCTCTCACACAAACAACAGGTAAAAATGTGATCGCTGGGACAGAAATCCCATTAAACTGAGGCAGAAACCAACCTGTAGGTAGAGCTGCCGCTCCGCTGCGGATATGCTGCTGAGCGCTGAGCCTCTCAGAGCCGTTGCTGTTGTTGTTGTTGACCTGGATGCCATTCTGCTTCATCAGCTGCATTAACTCGGACTCCAACGCTGCAATCTGTCGGAGGGAAGCACCGATCAATGTTAATGATATGCGGGGCATCTGCCTTTCAAAACGCCGTCCTTAAAGCTCCGAAACGAAAAACGTAAAGGGAGGATTGTTACGCAGTTTTTTTTTTAGCTGCAAAGGGTCAATCTTTTTAATCTAGTTGAAAAGATTGAAAGTATGTAGTTTTTCAAAACAATTCTGCATTTGCACTTATCACCTGCAGTTTTAGTCAGTATTTGAAGTATAGATATAAAGTATACGTATGTATTTATAAAGAGTGTGGCCTCTAATTATGTAGGCTGAAAAAAGAAAAAGAAACTGTGGAAAATGTACGGATGGATAGAGAGACTAATGGCAGAAAACAAAAGACGGATAGATATTGATAGTTTACAATGCTCTACAGTAGGACAATAGGGACCTGTATTCAGTGTTCAGACTAATGACAGGGGGGCATTCAGGGTGACTGTCCATTCAGCTGTGAAGAGAACAAAAGAGACAAAAAAAGGAGGGGAGGGGCCCCTACACACTATTGTAGCAGGAATATTTATTTTAACGTGATGATGTTACATGGTTTGCAACTGATTCGGCTGCAGTGACATAACTAGACTACAGAGCCTTCCATTAACTGTACGCCATCTTTTCAACGCCCTCACAGTGGTGATGAAAATCTGCTGTGACTCATCACTTTTCAATTATTCATGCACACAAACGGCCATGCTGCGCGGTTTGTTGTATTAAAATTCAGAAGGAGCGTTTGTTTCTGAGCTAAACCAAGCCGAGCCGACTGAGATGAGAAACAGACAGATGAAGATAGTCGTGTTACCCTAACTTGTAGTCCCTGGATCTCAGCCAGGTGAGCTTTCTCAGCCTCCTCCAGCCGCCTCCTCTCTGCATCTTCCTTCTGGATGAACTCCACCTCTCTGGAAGAACAACAAGTAGCTCAGATAGCAAGGTGTCCAGTTGCTGTGAAAAATGAAAACCTTTTAAAGAGTTTATGCTCTCTGCAGCAGTGATGCTGTTGTTTACAGCAGTGCACAACAAATAAAATGATTTAATTGCCCTTTTTCTCCTATTAAATTTGCCTTTTGGTCTAAGAACTCTGCCCTGCAGCTTTCTCTTCTGGAATGGTACGGGGGTTTTGTTTCATCAATTTGCTTCCATTTCGCCTGCAGGGGCCCGGGCCAATTAGAGTCTATCAGAGTGGCTCTGAGCAGTAGAGGTTCTGATGGGACTGACTGAAGGAATTACAGAACAGAAGCACAGAGAGGCTGAGTGCATTAGACGCAAAACCTGGTTCTTACTGCACAAGTGGAACTAAAAGGACTTTGTGCAGCTTTTAGGTCTAGAGTTGCTCATTTTGACACAAAAGAAATCTAATATTCTTAAAACAAGCATTTTGTTTAGACTATTTCAGGTAGTTGAGTTCAAAAATAAGCAGCTTAAAATGCTTCAACAGGAGTCAGGATCTAAATGAGTTTCTCTGCAAAACATAAAACAACTTTGGCATTTAAGGTTACCAAATCCAACCTGTGTTTTAAATTGTTTTCATAGCAGATAAAGATGGATAAATTAAGACTAAGTTGGAGTTCTATGATGCTTTTATACTTTTTGAAAGCATTAAAACATTAGCAGATGCAATGCTTTGTTTGGGGATTTGAACAATCTCAGATAATGCTGTGTTTAGCAGCTGCAGGTTAAGTTTAAAACCTAGAAAAGGCCATAAAAACACAGCAGCCCATCCTGATTATTTATTTAATTCTGTTTAAGATAAAAAGCATCAACATCTGGCTTCGCCACATCCAACAACTGGATACCGAAGGCTAGAATTTCAAAATGAACTTGTTCAAAGATAACTGATGCATGGAAATAACAATCAATGTCATGAAGAAATCTTTTATAAAATTGAGTAACCAATTTGTATACCGTACCTTATTAGCTTTTAATTTGGAACTTTATTTTTTTTTATATCTCTAATTACCTTATTTTTATCCTTGTTTTTGAAGCTCCATGAAAACCTAGAATTTTCCATTAAAAAGCTTTTGAGTTATTTAGTGCTAAATAAAGTAAATTTCCATTTTATAAAGCAATGACTCATAGTATGTCATCCCAAGGCACTTTACAAAGACAATTTAATCAAATCATATAGAAAGTTTGTTTAAAGTTTTCCATCTAACAAGAAACCAGCTGCCTGCTTCAAGTCACTGACTGTGCAGGATTTACTCCTCCAGGATGAGCATGTGGTGACAGTAGTCATTAGCTTGCATTGGGTCGTTAACTCTGCAGCAATCCCTCACATATACTGTAGACTATGCCTGCAGCGACAGTGGAGAGGAAAAACTCAATTTTAACAGGAAGAACCAGGCTCAATGTGAGCATCCTTCTGCTGAAGCCGAATAGGTTCAAGCAGACAGAAGCAGAGATACAAAAGGACCATAGACTGATCCATAAATACCTCTAATATAAATAAATCACTCTAATCTAAGCTTAATTCTATTTGATTCTACGCAAAAATTTAGTTAAGAAGCATGATAAACAGTTTCCACCATGCTGACTCACTTCTGCTGGAAGTCCTTAATGAGTTTCTTGGCCTTGCTGTATTTCTTCTCCAGAGTCTGGTACTGGGCCTGGGCCTCCTTCAGATGCTCGTTGACGGTGTGGCAGAGAGTCTGGGCCTCGATCCAGTAGCTCTCCAGCTTCAACATCCTCTCCTTGTTCTCCTCAATGCTCGCCTTCAGCTGGCTCTTCTCCTTCTCCCAGCGTTGCTTCTCCTTCTCAACGGAGGCCAACTATTAGGAGGCAAAAATGGCATTATTCAACGCAATATGAACCATGTGTTTAAACAGGCATTTATAAGGTTGTTTTGTTTTTGTTTGCTTTTTCAAGGGGGGGAGCTGTGAAAACTGCAATGATGCTTTTCATATTTCATAGTGTTGCATAAGTGTCTCCCTATAAAAGAAAAAAGTTCAATATTTCTGCAACGATGCAAAATCATTACATTTTAAAAGGGCAAATAAAATATAGAGGGATAAAGAGATCAAACAATTTGAAGTAGGTCAAAATCTGCCTTTTTTACTGTTTTTCTGTAGCAGTAATTCCAAACAGTCTTTTACTGTTATATGGATGAGAATCCTTTGTACGAAACCATTTGGTACAACTGACTGCTGGAACCAAAGAAACAGACTTTCTTCTTTGCATAAAACAGCATTCTAAAGGGAATACATAAAATGAAACTACTGAAAACTGATGGATGAGGAGATAAAGTTCCTGCTTTATTGATGACTAAGATCTCTAGTGGAGTCAAGTCAGGCTAAGAAATCAATCTTTTTGTTGTACATCTTCGGTATGTTAATAAATCTTTCTATTAAAATGAATCCAAAAACGCCTGTCCCTAAATGTTATTTCCACATGTCATTTGATAATTTGGTAAGGCAAGAAACAATTAATGATTTGGATTGTTACCATCAAACTAAACCAACTGTAAATGAACTCATATAGTTCAACTGGGGGCAACAATGTCTACAGCAAGGTTTTGAAGGCCAAGGACCCCCAAATTGATGCCGAGATGAAGCGGGGACCCCTAATTATATATTGTATGAAATTGTGTTATATCAAACTGGTCCAATACTCACTCTATTACAACTGGTTTCATATAACGAAAGTAATTTCGCCCTGGGATTATTGAAGTACTTGTAAATCTGATTCTGATTCCTGGTTGTTGGGACAGGTGTTGTGAATGAAACAGTCCCCAGCTTGAAAGAACTCCTGTGTGTCGCTGAATGTGTGCATTGATGACTGAAAGACATCTTCTGCCTCCATTTATCTGTTTACTTCAGTGTTTTGAATTCATGTTAATGTATATTTAAAGTGTTTTGAGTGATTATGACCAGACAGGGGAAACTATCAGCTTCATCTATTTACTGTTGCTATGCTATACTTAACCTCTGCATGGCTAATATTAAGTATTGTGGGATGCAGATCATCAGCTGCAAAAACGTGTGTGATGCAAACTTCAAAACATTCAAACACAACATACAAATGCTAGAAAAAAGCTGCAAACAAAAAATGCTGCAATGCATTAAATAGAAGAAAAGACCTAAAATTGACAATGCAAACAAAAAATGTTGTAACGACAGGAAAAAAAGGATGCAAATAGTAAAAACAGCAGCAAATTTGATCCACAGACGGGAAATACTCCAGACCACTAGTAGGAACGAAACAAAGAACAAACATGTTACTATACTATGCTGTTTTTCTGTAATTCTAAGCTTGTCTTCCAGTTTGTACAGAATCTCTGGTCCGATACGGTTTTTTCTTTGTTCGACTCCCTCTAGTGGTCTGGGGGACTGCCCTTTGTGGAACGAGTTTTCTGCTGTTTTTACAATTTGCATAATTTATATCTGTGGTTGCAGCATTTTGTTCGTAGTTGGAGCATTTTTTGTTTGCAGCGCTTATTCCATAGCATCTGTTTTAAATGTTTGTATGTTTTGAAGTTTGCATCACATGTGTTTTTGCAGCAGTTTTTGTAGATAGGTTCTGTTTTGTTTGCAGCATTTTTCTGTAGCATTCGTTTTTTTGTTATGTCTGTGTAAGTTTGTAACACACATGTTTTTGCAGCTTTTTCTTAGTTTTCTTGCATGTGTCGGCCACCGTAGGTTTCGGAGAAATTGTAGATTCTATTTAATGCTACCGGAATATTGGCGTATAAATGTACTATTCTGGCAACAAAGGCTTATTGTTGGTTGCTAGTTTGTCAGGTCTCCACAAGACTGCATTTCTTCACATTTCCGTCTCTTCCCTAAATATGTTGCCTCACAAATGTTTCTATTTTTTTCTATATGACATCCCATTAAAACTGCAGACTGTTATCACTACTCTCTGGCTGAGTACTGCTCCTGTTCTGCACTGATGCCCTAATCCAATGTTCTGTAAGTAACATCACTGATCTTCGGGAATTTACGGTAGTCTTCTTCTGACTTTCTTCTGACCTATTATACGCCTTAAGACACGATAATTAACAAAACTTTTAGAACTGCAAGCCTAAACACAATTAAAAGGAAAAAAAGTTTTTAATCTGTATAAAGTTTCTAGAGGTGACAAAAAGACAAATGTGGAACGACTTATATCTGGGAAAGAATCGGACCTGAGAGCTCAAATGGCACCATTTATTCTTAATGGTAAAATGGCGCCATCATTGAACTCTAATAGGCTTTTCAGGCACCACTTAATTCGATCATTTCAGCTTCCACCTCATTAATCCAGGAATTACTGAAATTAATTTACATAAATGCATAGGATGAAACCTTCAGATGGGTAGCAAAAAAATACATGCACACTAAAAGGGAGAAGTGAATTCAGGATAAATGGGCCATCTTATCACACTTATGCAAAAGGGAGGTTTGAAAGCAACAAATAAAAAGAGAGGATGGCTGAAAAACAGGGTGGTACAATCACAGGAATAGGGGTTCATTTGGAAAGCAGGGGCCTATAGTAACCTGCAGTTTTCACTCATAAATCAAAAAAAAAAAAAAAACCTGCAGAGGTTTCAGTCTCTTACCTTGTTCTTCAGCTTCTGGATCTCAGCCTCAGTCACTGTATGCTTGATCTGGAGCTGCAGAGAGTCCAAACAGAGCAACAGTGAGAACAACAGAGAGGAAGGATGGCGGTCAGAGGAGAATCAAACGCATGGCTGTGCAGGCTCTCTATTGTTGATCCGGTGTGAGTGGCAGAGGCGGCCGACCCTGTCCTGCCCTCTGCTGCCTCCCAACTTTGACTTTGACGTTTACTCCCAGAGGAAAGCAAAGGAAAAAAGACACACAAAAAAAGATAGGGATGCATTTAAAGTGGAGGGATCTTTAAAGTCCTTCAAAGTCATCACCTATAAATGTTTAACACATTTGATGGGCACCGAGATTAAGACTGAGGAGGAAGCAAAGTTGACAGTTAAATAATGAGGGAGCTTGAATAAAATCAGGAATAAAGTATGAGGAGCACGTTAAAAATATTTAACAGGCTGAGATAAAAGCGCTGCAACTTAAGCTCAACAAAACCAATTATTACACTGCAGGAGTCGGTTAAAGATACTATAGAAAGAGGCAAGAAGACAGTATATAAACCTGGAGAACTGTGCATTTAAAGCCATTTGTTAAATGTGTTAAAACAGCTACTGTGGAACGCCGCACAGGGGAAAATGTGCCACAGCATTGGAGTGATCAATAAATATTAGCAGCCGCTCAGCTGTCTAAGAGTGCAAACCACCTGACCATGAATTAATGTTCCATTTTATCGCTGTGGTTTTTGAGTCAGCTTATATTTTAGAAACAAGTGTAAGATTCGGTTGCTTAATCTTACACTAGTCATAGTCTTTTAGCCGATTGCATTCAGTATAACAAGTGCATGAGAGCAATAACAGAGAATAAAATGGAATGGGTTTTGTCATTTCTTTAGTCCTCCCTCAGAGATCTTTATTTAACAGCATATCTGTACGTAAAGAAAGAGAGTTCACCTCTCTGAACTTCTGGTAGAGTTTTGTGGCATCTAACTCTGAAGGAGACAAGATGTCTTCGGTCTCGGGCAGATCGAACACCTCTATGCTCTTTTCATCACCCGCCGTTGTTCCCGTCTCCTCGTCATCTGTGGCATACTCCCCTGTCTGCTTTAAGAAAAAGGAAAAATCACTTTTGTCATCTACGCACAGCAAACTGCAGAAAATAATACGATTTAGACAAAGTAAGGTGAAGAGACCAGCATCCTGGTTTTTAACCATTTGAGGGAGCATTGTTGAATCTAAATCGGGGGAAGCAACCTTCACAAGTCAAAGTGTGGTTCTTGATCCCTATCCCACCAAATAAGCATATAACAGAATATAGTATATAACAGAGTATAACAGAGGATGCAAGTTTGACTTTTGGTAGGAAATCATGTTGGTTCTATAGGTTAACTAAAGAACTACTACTGTTTTTTTTCTCTTTTAGGCCTTCAGAAGAAAACATTAATACCCTCAGGAGTAGGCCTACTAATAATTAGTAACCCATTAGTATTAATGTATATAGATCATGCTGAACTGACATAAATCCAATTTCAGCTTTAAGTTTTTTTCTTTTTACACATGTACCAAAATTAGCTATGAAGGATGAAAGATTAACATGACCATAAATAGATAAAAAACAAACAGATTTATAAATAAAAATGTGTTAATTTGATAATGGAGGAAATATATTTTCATACTGTAGAAAGATCTGCTGAAAATAGATAAGTTTTGATTTCATGCAGTAAAAATGTGTTTAGTCTACTGTTTTTGACCTTTTTTGTTGTGATTTTCTCATATAAAAGTTCATATAAAAAGGAGTCAATATGCATATCAAACTGCCCACGGTCTACCTTAACATATGCATATAATCTACATGGAAATTCTTTATGTTTTTGAACATAAGGGAGTCATACAGGTAGTTATACTGATATTGACCTAAATCATGAATGCAATCCTCTATACTGTTTAGCAAACTGCTGAAATAGTAACATATCTAAAGATAGACAGCTAGAAGGAATGACCCTTTTGTTACATCTCTCTTGTCTCTAATTAAGCAAAAAGTCAAGCTGAAGATCAAACCTGCCATGATAAATCTGTCCTGCTGTAGCCTCTTTTTACATCACATCACAGAGGCACATTTATTGTAAAAATCTTCCAAAGCCACACTCAGCTGGGTTTTATTTTCACATGAGCTGTGCCTGCGTGTTACATAAGAGTTTAGCAGCGTGCTTTGATGCAGAAAAGGTTTGTAAAATAGTGTTAAGGCCTCTGGGACTTTAGTTTACGATTTGTCCGCATCTATATTCTTTACGTTTGTGAATGTTATGTAACTAATGTAATTGAGTTAAAAGGTAAAACTGATGAGTTCTGTGGTGGCAGCTTCTCTATTGGCTAAAATGCATCCCCTACGCCCCTCCCTAAATACCCTGAAGCCTCAGGAATGCTGGCATTGACTATCATGCATTAAATGTAAATAGAGGGATCGATTCAGTTCTTGGCTGAAGACCAACAGAGACTCAATTTTCTAATGATGTCACCCTGAATCTTAAAAAAAAATTCTACTATAAGCCACTCGTATACAGAAGGCTACTTGTTTTCCTCTGCCTTTCACTGTATCTGGTTTCATGATGTTAACCTGCATTTCCTCCATCTATCCCTCCATTCATATTAACAGAGGTCCGGCCTGCGCTGCCCAGCGATCAATGAACACGAAGGCTGCTTCCTCTAATAGGGAAGAATGAACTGGAAAAGCAGAAGCATCTTCAGAGACGATACTGCTGTTTAAAGGATGTTTGACATTAATCTTAATCATCATGAATGTTTGAGAGGGAATTTTCCTTTACTTTTTTATTAATTTGTTTTCTCACCTCTAAGCTGACAGTGATTTTTTAGTTATTTGTGTTTTTTTACTTTTTATAACTATTTATACCCTTTCAGATTTGATTACAAGTGATTAAATTAGGGCTTTCAACTAATTATTTTGCAAATCGATTAATCTGTTGATTCTTTTTTTGATTAATCAATTAATAATTGGATAGCAAAAGGTTCTTTAAAGAAGAGTTTTTGCTAAATTAAACTGGGTGAAACTAAAACTTTTCCACTTGAGGAGTTCTGGATAGAGCATATTGACATTTTATCTTAAATGCAAAATGTTTACATATTTCTTTTACAACTTTGGTATATTTGCTGCTCAAGTTGGGTTGTTCTGTCAGCTAAAGGCATGTTTTGCAGTCCCTATATTCCATTTAACGATCCATCAATTACTAAATTAGTGGATGATTATTTCATGAATTAATAGATTATTTTCATGAATTAAACAATCGATTAATCATGATTACTCCAATTATGAATAAAACCTTTTATCTACAATTATGAGAAACTGTATGTTGGTTTTTCACATAAAATCCCAAAAAGATTAATCATAATTTGTTCTTGTTTTAAGTTAACATACAAAGTTCCCCACAAATGCTTTGGTAAGGTACTTTAAATTGTATATTATCTTTCTTGCATTGATATTTCAATGCTAAATCTTTAATAAATTCCTGGGCTTGATCTTAATAACTGTTATTAAATGTTAAGCATGGAAACTACACATAAAGGAAGATATCCTGGGAGAAAACGTCTGATTCTGAACAGCATGGTAAGCCTTCTGCTAAGAGCCTAATTCGAGCTAGAGAAGCATTAAGAACACTTGGCAGGGTTGTAATTGCATCTTGCTATAATTACCAAAGTTCTAGAGTCAGCATTAACAGCCCAAAGACAGCGTTCTTAAAACAATATTTTCACCAGGAAATTGAAGATTTCACACTGCATGGGCAAAACGCCACCAAAGAAACATGGCTGAGTGAGACTGACCTCATATAGTGTTGGAGCCCATTTCTGTCCCAATGAATCTATGTTTCATTCAGATGTAAAGAGTATATAATTTAGAACCAAAGGTAAGAGGAGTTGGATGGCCAGGAACTCAGTGTCTGTCGGATTAAAACGTGTTGTGACTAAGCATCCAAAGAGATGCAGCTCTCAGAGCATCTTCTTATTCTGCATGGCTGTTAGAGAGCATGTTTTTCTATGTCGGCATCAAAAAGCTTACTGTCAGTCAGTTTTATTGAGCTAATAAGCGGATACTTCAAGTCAGCTGTCATGGGAATAAAGCTGATTAGCATAAAGCAACAGCTAGAAGCCTCGTTTTCCATTACACTGTCATTTACATGAATTGTGGGAGCATGTGAATTTAAAATAAACGGCCTTTCAGGGTCCAAAGGATGACTCACGTTCCTAAATACATGTGATGCTAACTTTATAGCATCCTGGGCAGTATTTATGCAAATACCTCATCGTCATCAGCGTCATAGTGGGCGTACTGCTGCTCCAGAAGCTCTCTCTGCCTTCTCTCCTGCTCCAGGGTCTGCTGGATGAGCGTGGCCACCTCACTCTGCTGACCTGGACGCTCTCGGCCAATCACAAAACTGCAGAGACAAGCGATGCTCATCTCAAAGAAACATCTGATAGCACATGTATAATGAAATAAAATATAACAACATTTTTTCTGGATGGAATGTTTGCTGTTTCCCTCAGAAATAGAAGAAATTTTCAAATAGAAATAAAAAAAACTGCAACAAAATATATTTTCTGCAGAGATTCTATTTCATCTTGATTATGTATGAATTTAGAGGAGAAAAAAAAGAGGAAAATTTTCCAGTTAACAATGGAATTAAACTCTGGAGGATCTCTGATGCTGCATTGTTCATGAATATCTAAGGAGATGGGCATATTGAGCACCTGCGTATTGGGTCATATTGTGTTTTTTGCACAGGGAGACAACAGCAGTAGTCAATGAGAGAGAGGGGAACGGAAGCCTGCAGCCACAAAGCAAAGACAGCGATATTTGCTGACGTATCAGGGCAGGGCTGGGAGAGTGGATGTGCATAATAATGTGCAAAGCCAGCCAGCACAGCAGGGCAGCCAGCTATTAGCCTGGCAGGGAATGAAATCAAAAAAAAAAAAAAAGAGCCTGTACTTCTGTAGGGAAGCAAAAAATATTATCAAATGTTAAGTGGAAATAAGGGCGACTGCCTAATCAGAGAAAAAGGGGACATTTTTCAAAACTTCTAGACTAATGTTCCTGAGCTTAAAGCTTGTGATTCTCCGCATGCATTCATTCTACAAATCAAAAGAAATCCAGTCCTACCTCCTTACAGCTAACATAATAGTCCAATAATTAAAGCAAATCTTTAATCCAGCAGGGTACAAGTATCAGTGTGCATGTGTGACTAAGATCCAATCTGTGATTATAAGAGTGGGAAAAATAAAAAGTGCCTTAAAAAGGATTCAAGATAGGAGCCAATCAAGAGAATTCATTTCCTCTGAGCTTGTTCAGATATTTCTAGAGGCCAGTAAGAAAGGGCTTACCCTCCAGCAGAGAGGCATAATTGATCTACATGTAAAGGAACAACTGAAGGACAGGAGGGAAAAAAAAAAAAATCGACTGAGGGATAGAAAGGCACTGGAATAGTGAGGTCTTATTCTGCACAAGGACTGTGCAGCGGGGGACATCGGAGGAGTAGATGACCTGGAAACAGTCAATCTCCACATGTAAGAGGAGTTTGTCTTGGTTTATGGCTGCCTCCTACTGCTCTCAGACAGCCACACAGGGTGCTGGATCAGCTGAACCGCACAAACTGTCAGAAATGATTTATTTCTGCACTCTGGTTCATACAAGGGGGCCTCTTACAAAAAAAACCCAAAAACAATAAATTAGCAGAATGGATTCTTTTGTCTGTAGACATGTTTATTACCCACTGGATGAAGTTTGCTTTGTTTTACATTTAACAGCAGTAGCTAGAAATCATGCTAAAGATCAGCTATCATATTCAGGCCCATACATGGATTACATCTTTTGTTTAAACTGCTGCTGTGCAGAATGTGTAGTGCTGTCAGCAGTGGTTCTTGACACATATTTTACTCTGGATACTTGGGACCAGATCTGGGTTTTGATCACAGCATTTTTTAACATTCATGACAGAGACCCACTCAACCAAACCTCCACTTCCTGCTGTTGGTTCAGTCTCTGACTTTATGCCTGATGTCCACTCGGGAATAAAACTATTCAAACGCACCTTAGATATCAGCTTATAAAACTTGTAAAACTAGAGTTATATTTATTGATGTAGAATATTACAAAAGGTAACTCTGTTTTCAAGGCAAAAAGCTGGTATAAGTATATATACGCAGATGTTTTCAAGTTTTTATTATTACTATTATTCCTGTTATTCTA